AAAATGAAGAAAAGTCAACATAAAAGGCTGGGACCCACGGCTACACCCCCGAATTTACATCCCCCACTGGAGCAAAAAACATATTTACATCCCCTGGAGGTGTAAAGGGGATGTAAAAGTGGCTTTACACCCCCGAATTTACACCCCCACTGTGGATGCTCTTATTCAAAACAGAAAAAGGCAAACCAATAAATAAATAAAAAAAAGTCCACATATTGCTGTGACACCATCCCACTAGCATCATGACAATTGTGCATTGTTTGTCATCCTACTTTCCCTTTCAAAATTATATTCCTTTACTTTATGAAAAAGATAAACCAACAATCGAAATTTTGGAACAAAGTGATTGTATTTCCACTTTCTGAAAAAGCAGAACAACTTAGATTACCTTTTTTGTATAGCTGATTTTCTTCATAAAAATCAGAAGAAAATCTCATATGAAGCCAATTTGATCTTGTCAACATTTTTTTTTTCTTTTTCTTTATCATCTAAAAATAATTAATCTTGATTGTATTTTTTGTATATTTGATCTTTTTATTAAGCTCGAAAATTATGAGGGTATCAGTATACTTTTCGACACCGTATGGGAACGCAAATAATATCACAAAATTTTATAATAAAAATTAAAAAAAAGAAAGAGAATAAATATAGGAGAAAACCAAAAACATGCACCGTCCTCTGTCTCATCATCTAATGAGAATCTACAAATATTTGATACTGATAGGATGGAATGGAACTAGTGTGATCACACACAAAATAAAAATGTCTATTTTCCACCGAAGAAAACGACTCCAAGTGATTCTGACTTGCTTTTGCTTATCACGCATCTCTAGCCCCACTTCCTCTTATCTTACATGCAATCTTTGATGTCGTTTACGCCTTGGTGGGGTCGTTTTTTATCACACCTCATTGACTTTCCAATCTGGATGGCGAGGGAGGGCTTTTCTTTATGCTCCCCATAGTCAAGTTTGGCTTTGCCTTTGGGGCACACTGGGAGCCGTTGATTGTGAACTGTGCATGAGGAAGGCCGTCCGATTGTCGTAGTGTTGAAGTTGGAATTATTATTATTTTTTCTATTGAAATGTAGTGCCCCAGAAGATGGACTTTCTGCTTATCCACTTAGTCATGAATTGTCCTTTAGCTCGTGTCTTAGAGCTCAACTTCATATTCCTGCTTTCTCCGAAAGAAAATTCAATATTTACTATCCATAACTTTAATAACCTATGACTCTTCAACGAAGAAAGTCACTCATGTGCGCATGTACGATTTCATAATCCATCTATTATCATAATTATGAAATATACATCTATTAATTGTTGATAGTTATCGATGGACGCCCACTTGATTGTAGGACCAACACTCATTTTGTGAGTATACCTAATAAAACTCTCCTGGTAATTGAAAATTAGAGTGATTGGATTTTCCTTAGTAGAACTAAAAAAAGCATGACTCAAGTATGGCTATTGAGCTCATTATGCTTGAAAATTTTAAGATAATTGAGCTTTATTCTCTCTAGTAATCGTTGAAGAATTTGCTTCTAAAACTTCCATAATTATTGAGCTTTATTCTCTCTAGTGAACCGCTAAACTTAAGTACTCGATTTTGATAGTCCTTAGATTCATTCTAAAATCTCCATTAGACTATACATAATAAGATAACATAATTTTAGATTGAATCTAATGAACTCTAATTGGAGCACTTGCTTGCTTTTTTCTGGGTTAAAGGTAGGAAGAGGGAGAGGGATTTAATCACACGCACTAGTGCTTAAGAGTTTTGAACTTGATACCATTTGGTCTTAGATCAAACATACTTTTCCAATGGAACACTTATTTGCTTCGATCACGACAAATACAACTTACCCATATTTTTCTATCTTACCATGCCTTTCTACTTACCCATTGTTTTTTATTTTTAAAATTTGTTTATGTGTTAAAAAGCAAATAGATGATTCGGCCGTGTTAAGAAATAGGACTATAATCAAATTTGATCATAACCGCATTATGCTCCCATGATCATGATTGTTGCGAGCTTGGTCATCATGATTGGATTATAGTTGTGCAATGAAGATCACCATTCAATGTGATCATTGTTAATACATGAATATTGAAATATTATTCAACTAATTTGATAGGGGGATAAAGCCTTCTATTTATAAAATAGAATTTCACTAAAGAAAGGAAAGACAAAGAGAAAATGAAAATATGTTGCAAAAGTGATGGAGATGATCAAGCTTAATGGGCAATATCAAGGCATGATGAAGATCTGATGGAGCTGGTGAAGGTAATCAAAACTTAATGGAGGCAATTAGCAACTATTAATTTTTTTTAGTACAAGCGATAGTCTCTACACTAAGGCACTGTTTGGTTTACTGAATGGATTTGAGGGGAAATCACTTCCCATGTCATTTCCCAAGGGATGGGAAATGGAGATTCCTTTCCCATATTTGGTAATCCTGGGAAAGTAACCAAGAAATACCACTTTATTTCCTTTCAAATGTTTGGTTTGTGTAGGAATGTAAAACAAAGTTTGTTTTATTTTCCAATTATATCCATATGAAATCAAATAAAAAAAGAATGCATTTAAAGCTATATTGTAATTCTAAATTATTAATGGGGGACAATATGGTCATGAAAAATATGTATTTAATATTGGCTCATTTTCCCAAACTTTCCCATGAGGAGGAAAACAAAACCCAAGAGGGAAGGAGAGCTTCACTTTCCCCCTACTTTCCAATGTGCAAAGCAATGATTTTCCACACCTGGACTTACCAAACATGGGAAAGCAATTGATTTCCAATCCCCAAGCCTCATTTCCAATGAACCAAACGGGGCCTAAAGGGTACGGAGATTTCTCACACACATAAAACTAAAATGTCATGGGGATTCAAACTTGAGACCTATTATCTGCAAATAAAGGTCCTTTTTTTTGGCAAGATTCCGTTAACAACAACCATTATTTTAAAATGTAATACTAGAGATACCAATTTTTTTTGGTTGTTTGACATCATCTATTGTGGTAGTAGTTCATTTGTATTTTTAAATTTATCCACACCACAGCATAATCATATCAGTTTTCTTCTCAATATTAGTATAATAGGTTAATGTACCTAGCATAATTATACTTTTAATTGCAATTTTTTCCTTAAAAAATGCATAAATAATAATTTAATTTAATTTATGAAAAGGAATCTATATATGTAAAGCAAAAGACATAGAATGGTGAAACATTCAAAATATCAGAAAATGCCCGTTTTTAATGCAACATTAAGAATTGAAATTATTAATTAAATGAGGATAATATGATAAATTCACAGTTTTCATATTAAAAAAAATTAAAATTAAAAGAAAATTAAGATAATGGATCTTATTTTTATGGAACACAAGCACAACTACCCATTATCTTTTTTAATTCTAAAATAAATTTAAATATTTTTAAAAAATAAACCTCTCGCAGATGCGGAAAGGCTAGTCTCATAATCGAAAATTCTGAAAAATGAAGTAAACATAAATAGTTAAATTGTGGCAAAGATAATTCTGAAAAGAGTATTGCTATTTCCACCAATCTGTCCTATTTTCCCACCCACCTTATTTTCCCACTCAACATATAAATTTTAAAAAACACAATCCTATCTTTCCACCCACCATTATTCCTAAAATACCCTTTAATTATTAATTCTATTTTTTCTTTTTCTTTTTTCTCATTCTTTCTACTCTTCCTTCTCTCCTCCCCTGCCCCGACTATTCAATGCTCATTCAATCTTCCACCATGAAGCAAGTTGGTTCCTTCATCTTCGGAAAATCTTGAGAGGTGGTTTTTTTTTTTTTTCCAAATTGAAAGGTCTCTTTCTGTTATTTAAAATTTCAGCGTTGTAGTTGGGTGGGTGGCTGCTGAATTTTTGCTTCTTCTTTTTTCCCATACAAACTTGAACAACTCACTTGCCCAGTAATCCACTATGAAAGCAACATGTTTGAAGCAAAGAGCCCATACAGATAGAATGAAAATATCGTTCAAAAAAAGGCAAACACTGTTTAGGTATATGTAATATAATGGGAATATAGACTGCCAATTACTTTTATGAAGATTCAAAATTTATCTTCCAACCAATGAAGTGGATGAGATGAGATTGAGAAGGCAACAGAGGAGGTTGTGACGGCTGACTCAAGAGTGCAAAACAAAAATGCGTTAGGTTTTTTTTTTTTAATTTTAATTTTAATTTTCCTTTTTATTTTATTTTTCAGTTTTTTTAATTCTTAATAGGTGAAACATGTTTTTTTCCTAAGTCCTTAGAAGTCATTTTACAAATGGGTAAATTTGTCTCTAAAATTTTGAAAATAAGGTGAGTGGGGAAATAGGACAGGGTGGAAATAGCAGCACTCTTCTGAAAAACCGGTAACAATAAATGAGAGCGCCCCACGATGGTAGACTTTTTGGCCCATTTTATGACGTCATTAATCCGACTGAGAATTCAAATGTTTTTTGCAGGCGAGACGAAAGCGAGGGTTCTAGAAAGCATCGAACCGCTCTCATTCGTCGATGCCTTCAAGAATTCTAAAGTGCGCAACAACATCAAACTCAGAACCGATAACCTCACACCGCGCCTCCAAAGACAACCACGACAGACAATCTCACGGGTATAAGACCGTACAAAAATCAAACTCCATAAGATTGACTAATCTCCAGGTCCACTCATCTTCGCCAGTTATGCATTCATTAGTGACGGCCAGTCAAAATAGCGTAATCCAGTAGCGAATTGGTTCATTTTCCCCACAAGGAACGGACGGTGATGGTGCGTCCACGTCAGCCACCAAAGACAAAGACGCGTAAGGCGGTGAAAATCCGGAATCTGAATACATCACTGTGGTGAGGTCGGTTTCACAGGATCAAGGACACGCGGCCATCCGTTACTCGAAGGCTGTAAGATATTAAAAACATCGGGACCCACTGAGAATTTAAAATTTAGAAAAAAAGATTTTTGTGTTTTGGGTTTTTCGGAAGAAAGAAAAGGAACGAAGACGAAGGAGGCAGAGGAGGTTGCTTTCATAGGCTCTTCTTTTTGACTCAAAACCCATAAACACTTAAAAGGAAGAAACGAAAAGTCTCTCTCTCTCTCTCTCTCTCTCTCTCTCTCTGCTAGAGTTTGGTCGTGTAGTTTAAAGAGGAGGAGTTGGGTTTTCTGAGCCACTCGGTGTTCTGCTCCTTCTATCATTTCTCTGTTGTGAGGTATGTACCCCTGCTTTTATTTTCCTTTTTCCTTTTGTCAATTTTAATTTTTGTGTGTTCTTTGTGTTTTATTGAATGTTTGAGTTTGAATTCCACTTGGGTTTTCCGTCTTCCGGAAGTTTGTTGAATTTTCTGTTTGGATATTGAGAAAGAGAGAATGGGAGTTTTTCAAAGATTGGTGTTTTAATGGGTTTGTTATATGTTGGGACTTAAAAGTTGGAAGAAGGAGAAGAATTGTGCAGAGTTGAATTTGGATGGTAAGCCAGAAGGGTAGCTGTATATGGTGTGCTTGTCCCAGTTTCCTGGCAACCAAACAAGTGGGTGTGTTTGTTATGAGGGTTGTGTTTGTTGGGTTTGTAACAGATTTCTGTTTCAGTTTTGCTTGAAATTGGGTAACATATGTGTTGACATAAGGTTAAGAATGAAACCGAAGTTTGGATATTTGTGTTTTAATCTTATGCCTAGTACACCTTTTTGAGCCCCTCTTTATGAATTTTGTTTTATGCCTTTACATAATTTGAATTTTTACTCTTCCTTCATGTTTCTTTTCCTCCATAAAGTGCCCATGCTTGTGATCTCTGTCAGAGGGTCTTTGAATTGATGTTATGCCCTCTTTTTTTATATAGGAAGGGAGAGATTTCCATGTGCAGTGGTTCCAAGAGGAAACCTTCTTCCACTGACTTGATCATGGAGCGTGAGAAACAAGAAGGGATGCGGTATAGTTTTTCAATTTTGCTTGAATTATCGGCCTCCGATGATCTAGATGGGTTCAAAAGGGCTGTAGAAGAAGAGGGTCATGATGTTGATGAGGCAAGCTATTGGTATGGAAGGCTAATTGGCTCAAAGAAGATGGGGTTTGAAGAGAGGACACCGCTCATGATTGCCGCTATGTTTGGTAGCAAGAACGTGCTGAATTATATCCTCCAAACATGTCTTGTTGATGTTAATAGAGCCTGTGGTTCAGATAGAGCCACGGCTCTTCACTGTGCTGCTGCTGGTGGCTCTTCTGCTTCAGCTGAGGTTGTCAAGCTCTTGCTTGCTACTTCTGCTGATGCAAGTTCTCTTGATGCTAATGGAAACCAAGCAGGTGACTTGATTGCACCTGCTTATAGTTCAACCTTCAATTCAAAGAAGAAAGCTTTGGAGGTCATGCTCAAGGGTGTTCTTAGTATAGATGAACCTTTTGACTTTTCAGAGCAAATGGTTTATGAAACAGAAGGGCAAGAACAGCAAGAGATTACAACTCCTCGTGCTTCAAAGGATGGAACAGAGAAGAAAGAGTATCCGATTGATCTTTCTCTTCCAGACATCAAGAACGGAATTTATAGCACAGATGAGTTTAGAATGTATACTTTCAAGGTCAAGCCTTGCTCAAGGGCTTATTCACATGACTGGACAGAGTGCCCGTTTGTCCACCCAGGGGAAAATGCAAGGCGGCGTGATCCAAGGAAATATCATTATAGCTGTGTTCCTTGCCCGGAGTTCAGAAAGGGGGCCTGCAGGCAGGGAGATGCTTGTGAGTATGCACATGGTATTTTTGAATGTTGGCTTCACCCTGCCCAGTACCGTACCCGTCTTTGCAAGGATGAGACTGGATGCACTAGAAGGGTCTGTTTCTTTGCTCACAAGCCAGAAGAACTCCGTCCCTTGTATGCTTCGACAGGTTCTGCTGTGCCGTCTCCGAGATCATTCTCAGCCAATGCTTCTTCTCTGGACATGGGTTCAATTAGCCCACTTTCCCTCAATTCTCCATCTATGTTAATTCCTCCTGCTGCAACTCCACCGATGACTCCCTCGGGAGCCTCTTCTCCTAGGAGTGGAAACATGTGGCAAAACCAGCCAAACATCGCACCTCCCACGTTGCAGCTTCCCGGTAGCAGGTTGAAATCTACCCTAAGTGCTAGAGATATGGATTTAGACATTGAATTATTTAGTCTGGAAAGTCATCGCCGCAGGCAGCAGCGCTTGATAGATGAGATATCTGGTTCCCCATCCAGCTGGAACACTGGCTTATCTTCTCCTTCAGCCTTTGCTGCCTCCGGGAATCGAACAGGGGAGTTGAATAGGATAGGAGGAGTGAACCCTACTAACCTTGATGATATTTTTGGATCTCTAGATCCTGCAATTTTGCCTCAATATAATGGGCCAGCATCCCAGTTACATTCTCCAACTGGGATCCAGATGCGCCAAAACATGAACCTGCAGCCCCGTCCCAGCTACTCAGCCAGCCTCTCATCCTCTCCTGTGAGGGCTTCTCCATTGTTTGGAGCTGATGCATCTAGTGCAGCTGCTGTTTTTAGTTCAAGGTCGGCTGCATTTGCAAAGCGGAGTCAGAGCTTCATTGAGCGCAGTGCTGGCAACCGTAATCCAGGGTTTTCTTCACGTGCCGATTCTGGGACTTTAATGCCCTCAAACATTTCAGATTGGGGCTCTCCTGGTGGCAAATTAGACTGGGGTGTGCAGGGGGAAGAGCTGAACAAGCTGAGGAAATCGGCTTCTTTTGGATTCCGAAGCAGCGGGAGCAGTTTTTCAAATGCTCCAACCATGATGCCAGGAACTGCTGATGAGCCTGATGTATCTTGGGTTCAATCTCTTGTCAAGGATGCACCACCACCTTCGCAACGCGGGCAATTTGGTTTTGAGGATCAGCAGCAGCCGCAGTGCCACCCTAACAATGGAGGTCCAGAGATGCTCCCTGCTTGGGTGGAGCAGCTCTACTTGGAGCAGGAGCAGATGGTGGCTTAATTCTAAGTTCAGTCCCAGGATTGCTCCTTCGTTAACCTTTAACGATATTAATTTTTGCCATTTTTTAAATTTTTATTGTATTCATCATAAGTAGGTTCAAGGAACTGGATAAGAGGGGAAATACCCCTGACGGAGAAGAAAGATAAGTCATGCAGGATGCAAGTTCTGCTCATACTGTTTCCTTTTAATTTATCTCGTCTTCATTGTAGTATCCATGTGAATCTCAAGCAGAAAGATGCTGGACTTGAGATGGCCTTTCACCTATGATATCATTAATTTAGATATTGTTGGTCGGTTGTATACCTTATATCATATGTATGGCCAGCTCGTAAACTCATGAATTTATTCATAAGTTGATAATGTTCATACCTATTTGGCCAACTTTATGTTCTCATGTTGATTCTATTGTGTACCTTTTACTAGTCGAGAAATATATGTCATTTTTCTTTTCGTGTCTTGGAACCAATTGAAAATACACTTCCTCACCCCTGCCCCTCCCAAATTCTTGGGCAATCAACAGTGCCTAGTTTTAAACTTTTTTGCTTTCAAATTCCTCTATTTTTTCCATCTGTGGTTACTGCCATGGGGTTTCTTGTCTTTTCCGAAATCTGCATATTACTTTCGGCTTTCCAAAGGCGAATGTCAGTGGTTCTGTCAATTGGTGATATTTGTTGAGCACAAACAGAAAAAGGCAAACCTACTTGCTCTACTTTTTCGGTCCTTGAATCTAACTTTAGTAGTTTGCCAATTGTTAGTGGTATGAGCACTGGAAAAAGGAAGGATAGTAGTGGCTTAGTCCCAACAGCCAGAGATGCCTTGGCCCATAAGTATAGGTGGCGATTTATGATAGGATACGACAACACTCGATTTGAACACTACACAAATATGGGAGTTTCTATAACGAGAGGCTATGTTTGGGGTTACAATGAGAGGGTTCAATTCAATAGTCCAACATCGAACGGTTATTAAGTCCCCATCACTATAACCCCTCATTCTAGCCTCTCTGCACAAATATAGACCCAATGGATACATGTTTAGCACAATAAACACTGATTAACTAATATTATGATAATAAAATGCTAACCTTTCTCAATTTTTTTTAATGAATAATATGAGTTATTGTATTATTACATTATTATTTTTGTATCATGTTGCTTATCCTGCTTATTGATCAAACCGGATGTTGACACGAACACTAAACGACTACAAATGAATCAACCCATATACGACCCATTGCCACCCATTAACCCGTGTGTTCAAACGAACACTACACGACTATAAATGAATCAAACCAAACACGACCCATTGCCACCCATGAGTCTCTACTCTACCTCTAAACCCACTGAAAACACATTGGAACTTTATCCCGGGCGATGCCCATGACTGCACCATCCAGTCCAGTCCGGACTGTACAGATGGTTGAGTGTAGATGGGCAGCATTCCCTTTTATTTTAAACCATCACAAACAAGTAACCTAAAATTGAGGTTGAAGTGCCTACTTTGTTACTAGTCAAGAACCTCATTTAATAGAAAGAAGAGGTACAACCAACTTTTAAACTACATGAGCTGGTGGTGGAGACATGTATGTGATTTCTACTAGTTGAAATTTTCAAACAAGAAAGCATTTTTTTTCCTACCCTAAAAAGGCCCCTCCTGAAATTGTTCTTTTACCCTAGTGCACCAATTCTAAATCCACATGGGTTTGCCTAAAATACTTGACCAAGCATTTTAAATGAAAAATTGTTGCCTGAATTGATTGACTAGGACCAGCCTTCATTGCATATGTTCCTCTGTTGGTAGAGAGGATAAGAATTTCCTCTGTTGGTAGAGAGGATAAGAATTAAGCACCTTTTTATAATGGCAAGTTTGAATGTTGAATCTGCAGTTTACAAAGGGGAGGGAGACTAACCAAAAAGCAAAGCTGAGCTGAAAGAGTGGGAGCTAGTGTTTTTTTTACATTACTGTCAATAACAGTTTGACGTGTGTGCAAAAGTTTTTCCGGTTGTATTTTTAATGAATTATTTTTACATCTATATGAAATTGTAATTCATAGAAAGAGGAAAGAGGAGTATATCCTTACACGTAAGTAAGGAAGCATTATCTTTTTTATAATGTCATGACTTTCAATCATGGCTGTGTCCATAACTTGTTTAAAATAAGCTCAGAAAGTCATCGGTTTGAAGTTTCAGCTCTAACTCTTTGGATGACAAAGAGTTCAGTGGCAAAGTCAGAATTAAGTTGTGCAGAGTTTTGAATCACATTATAATATTCTTGTTTTGGCAAAAGAATCACATTATAATATTGAATTTTCAGAAGAAGAAAAAGTGGATTGTCTTGGCACAGTAAAAGAAGGGGTAGAATAATTTTGTTAGTTTGGTTTAATTTTATTGTAATGCCAAAGTTACAAAGGTTTGTAAATCTTACAGGTTTTGAATTTTCAAGGGTGAGTCAGCAAATTGATCTACCAGCTCATCTAATAATTGACCAAGAATTTGTGACTCAAAATCTGCACCAATGTCTGCAGAACCTGCTTGGTTCCAACTGCCTTTGTTTTGTATGATCCAATTTGAGCCAACCAATTCATCTTCAACCAGCCTACAAATTTCCCCCCACATCTCAATGTGCTTTCCACTGTGAAACTCTTTCTTCCTTGATCCAAGACATTTGCCTTCTCTTGCCTTTGTTCTTCTTGCATCACCAATTAAACCATTGTCTTTACATGGACAAGGCAAGCCTGAATCTTCTTGATCTGGTGTGCAACATTTAAAGTAATTTAAAATTTAAAACCATGCTATAATTGGTCACTGTATGAAACAACTATTTCACGCTTAAGTTTGAAAGATGGTGTGTACAAAATTGAGGAGACAAACCTGAGGTAGGAGCTTCTGAATCAACAAGAAATTGACCACAATCAAGAACCGAAACCGGGCTTAAATCTTCTGAGCTGCACTCAGATTCTACATTCTTAAGAACATCACAGATTGTAGGAATTGAAGCACTTTTTGAATCCTTAACTATACCATTAATATTGCCAACTTTGTAACTGGGATTATCAGAGCTACTTCTACTTCTACTTCTGAGAATCTCCCTCCCATTCAAATCCTTCAGAACCCTTCGGCTCTTTCCTTCTTGAACTTGCTTCTTTTTCTTATCTGCCTCTCTTTCTGTTATGTTTTCATTGTTTTTGCTCTTCCCTGCTCTTTTCTGCTTCCCTTCTCTACAACCCATTTCGCCTTTCCTCCCTTTTGATCTCATTTCCTTGCCTTTGCTCTCATTCTCAAAGCTGAGAATAAAGAACTCCTCATTTTCAAGCTCAAGAAATGTTGGCATCTCTCGAAACGACTGCGTCGACTTGACCTTGCGATGTTGTGCCTGCATTGTATCATCACCACCTCCAGCAAACCGGTCCACAGAATTCATGGATTTGCTACGTGAAATTGAGTTAAGGGTTGACTGGCCGTTGACCAAGTTGACATCTGGAATTGACTCCAACCCCATCAGCCTTGCCACCAGGCTTGGAGTGGCAGCGCTCTCTGTTTTCTCCTCTGTTTTCTCCCCTGTTTTCTCCATGGACTTGAAATCCTGATCCTTGTAAGACTCCACAGAATTGGCTGCTTGTTCTTCTTCTTCTGTGATATGATCAGAAGGGTATGTGGGGAAGCTGCCATAGCAGAGAATTCTGCGGAAAATGCCAGCAAGGCATCCTGCAGCAGCGCCTTTTGGATTGCACATAGCTGCATCAAAAGCAGTGGAGGTTGATGATGATGAGGAACATGAAGAAAAAGAAGGGGAAGAGCTTGGCAACTTCATGTTTGAAATTGAGCTGATAAGTAGCAAAGGGAAGTAGAAGAAACAAACACAGTGAGTGAGTGAGTGATTTGAGTTGGGTTTAGTGGAGTTTCAACTTTCAAGTTGGAACTGCAAAAGTGAAAAAACAAAGAATGAATAGTTGTCGAGAAAGAAAAAAGGCTGAAAAAAGGAGAGATTCAAATTTGTTTTGTAGTAGCAAACTGCAAAAGTGTGGTAATGACAGAGTAAGTGAGTGAGAGAGAAGTGGCGGGCTCTGCATTTGAATATTAGATTGTTTGGGAACATGTTACCACGCGGATTGTAAAGTCAATTTTGTACAATATGCTGTCTCCTTGTAGATATTTGGTCACATTCTTAGATAAATTATTGTATAGCGTGAAATGTTACTAATTCACGTATACGTTAAGTTCATATCTTATATATGTACACATTTTATAATGTCAGGTTGCGAACCCATGACTAACTGAATGGAGACAAAATTCCTTACCACTACACTAAAAGAGCATTGACAATTTTTCTACAAAATATTAATACAAAGATACATATTATAATGTATGTGAATTAATTACACAATATGACGGTGTTACGGTCTCACCAATACATTAGTAATTTGTATATGGTGTGACAGTGTGAAAGGGTTAATATTGGGTGGTCTAGATTCTGCAGTTATTTTGTAATTACTATTTAGGCATGAGGCAAGAGGAGGAGAATTGTGTGGCCAGTTGCTTAATTGAGAAACAGTTTTTGGGATCTGCAGCCCAAGAAGATGATGACCTTTCACTGGTTTGTTAAAACTGGGTCAGCCTTTAGTGGCTAAAAGAAAAGAAAACATTGCAGTTTTGGGCCGGATGGTTAATGCAGTGTTCCCCCGACCGTCCCTTCTGTCATGTGTTTCTTCTTCAACTTTGGTCGCATTCCCATCACAATCAATCAGAAGCCATGGCCCATTGCAATGTAGCTACCTTACAGAACAAGCAAGCAAGGCTATGACTTTCTGCATACAATTTGGAGGCTTGCCTTTTCCTTGTGTGTTGTTCCTTTCTTCTTCTATAGAAATATATGGCGAAAACTCATTCAACTGAGCCTTTATGGTATTCAGATGGCTTGATATGTGGGTTTCAGTTTCAGAACAAATACACAAAATTTGAGGAGTTGTAAATTTTATAATAAACTAAAAAATCTCTTGCATCAAAACATTTTTAGCTCCAAAAGATTACGAGGGCTTCATCTTCTCATAAAATCTGAGACGCTTTGAATCATTCTGATAATACACAATATCTCCTGTGTCACTGACATAGTGATCCTCTTTCATACTTGCAGTTAAAATCTTCGCCAAGTGAAATGGAATTGGGCCTGATTTTTCTGGCCCGCGATAATATTTACCAAGAACATGCTTAGCTGCCTTTGTCTGCAAGATAATTATTCAGGCATGCAAATATTTAAAATCAATGGTTCAAAACCAACTCCTCACAACAAATGAATAAACCAATTT